AACTCTCGCCCTAACAATTCCTCTTTTAATCACAAATGATTGGCACAGAAAGTGGCTTGCCATCTGTATACTTGCATATTTAAAATTCTTCAGATATTAGCAGATTCTTTCCTGTTTTGAATGAATCCGGTTTTGCCTGGATGTGTAACTGAACGTCTCCTGGCCCCCGCTGGCTGTGGTTTCCAATGCAATATAAACTGTAAGTTCTAAGTGGACTCAGCAAAAAGCACTTGCTTCTGACTTTGCTTGTAATAAATTGAATCAATCAGAAATTTGCCAGGTAACTTGGAAAAAAAATTTTCTTGAGCAACTAAAGTATTATGGAGTATTTGAAAAGATTGATAAAAGGCATACTTGAAAGCTACCTAGCATGGATGATTTCATTGTTCTGAAATTTTTAGACTTTTAATATTGAATTTCTTTCCCTGACTCATAATAAGAATAGGGCCTCTTTTAAATCATATTCATAAAATGGCACCTCTCAAAGTCCTTCTCACAAGGAAGTCCTTGTAGTGAGAAGCAGCAGGCCTAGTGGTTAGGAACCAAGTCCCTCAAGGCAGGCTAGCCCAGGTGGATCCTGGGGCCGCAGCTTCCTGCCTGTGCACTTTGGGCCAGTTACATAACTTCTCTGTGTCTCCCCTCTCCTCATCTATAGAAGGGAGCTGATAACACAGCATCTCCCTGTGGGGTTGTGTGAGGATTAAGCGAGTTAACACATGAAAAGTATTCTTAAGAGTTCCTAGGATATAGGAAGTGTTGTTTAAGTGTCACTGCTATTTGTAATTGCTGAGATCTCCAGGTGAACTTATTTAAGAGGAGATTGAAGACTTCTAACAACCCTGCTTTTAATAAATGAGATGGATACCTAGGAGTTATCAAGTGCTTACTGTGGGCTAAGCACTAGGTCATGCAATTCCCAGGATCATCCAGAGAGGCACGTTCTTGCACCATTTTTTTATGAGGATGCTGAGGGACAGGGAGGTGAGGTATCCTGCTCGATGCACAGGGGAAGGAAGGCGCTGAGCAGATCCGCATGCAGATCAGCTGAGCCCGCACCTAGAGTCCTTCCCCGTTACCGTGAAGACTCTGGGATGAGCATGAGAAGATGGGCTTAAGTAGCCGTGGTCTGTTCCTGACCATCCCTGTCACCACAGCCCAATGACCCTTGGACACTAATGTCAAGGAATTCCAAATATCAGGTAATGAACAGAGACCAGTTGAGCCTCAGGCGAAATCATAGCGTCAGTGATAATTTGGGTGTGTGTAATGTTGCAACCTCTACATAGCTCTGAAAAGGCACCTTCGAGTCTATAGAACAAGAGAGGATGTTGGAAATAAATATGTACCCCCCTCATATTTCAGGTGAGAGAAGAGAGGCACAGAAAGCTGTAACGACTTACCTGAGGTCACAGGCGAAGTGACAGAGCTGGGTTTGGACGCTGGGCCTTTGGCTGCTGGCGCATATCTCTCTCTCCAGCTCCTCAGGACACTTCTGCGGCTGCTGCTTCCTGGATGCTCAGCAGGAAGCAAGCCCATAAAAGGGGAAACTAGTAAAATAAGGAGATCATTTAAAACAGGGGACAGAAGTAGAAGTTCCTTGAAAAGCACGACTTCTTGTGTCACCGGGAAGGGGCTTTTTGACTTTGTGGGAGGGAGTAAATGAGTTGTCATTGGGGCTGTCCTTTGGAGCACATTTGTAACATTGGCTTAGGGTGTGCACAGTGGACAATAATGATATTCATCATGGTCTAATAATGACTTTTAAGGGCAGCTTCTTTAGAGGGCTCCAATAGTTTCTATTGACCTATAATATAAGAATTAAAATAAAAACAAACAATATCTATATCTGTATTAGTTTGTTAGGGCTGCCGCAGCAAAACACCACAGACCAGGTGGCTGAAACAACAGAATATATTTTTTCACAATTCTGGAAGCTTCCAAATTCTTGGAAGTCCAAGATCAAGGTGTCAGTAGAGTCGATTTCTTCTGAGGCCTCTCTCCTTGGCTTGCAGATGGCTGTGTCTGCCTGTGTCTGCACGTGGTCTTCCCTCTATGTGTGTCTGCGTCCTAACGTCCTCTTCTTAGAAGGATGCCAGCCATATTGGATTAAGGCCCACCTTAATGACCTGCTTTTACCTCAATTACCTCTTTACAGATCCTATCTCCAACACACTCACATTCTGAGATGCTTACTGGGAGTTAGGACTGCAACATATGAATTTGGGGCAGACCCAATTCAACACATAACGATATCTATATCTGCATCTGCATCTACATCTATATCTGCACCTACATCTACATCTACATCTGCATCTGCATCTACATCTACATCTATATCTGCATCTGCATCTACATCTATATCTGCATCTGCATCTACATCTATGTCTGCATCTGCATCTACATCTATGTCTGCATCTGCATCTACATCTATATCTGCATCTGCATCTACATCTATATCTGCATCTGCATCTACATCTACATCTGCATCTGCATCTGCATCTACATCTACATCTACATCTATATCTACATCTACATCTATATCTGCATCTACATCTACATCTATATCTGCATCTACATCTACATCTATATCTGCATCTGCATCTACATCTACATCTATATCTGCATCTGCATCTACATCTATATCTGCATCTACATCTAATCTTCATTGTAGGCCTGATTTGAGCCTGAAATAATAACAGTGAGAATTCCTCCAAATCTTATTGTGTGACAATGAAAGGATACAGATTCCAAATCTAATTCCCCAGTTTAATTAGCGTGTGGCCTGTTAGCACAAACTCATTAGAAATGAGCGTTCTCACAGCCAACTGTTACCTAATTTCCGGGCTCCTGAGACCTGCTGCTCCATTAGTGCTGGGAAGGGTGAGCAGGGCTGGGGAAAGTCACCGAGCTGCTGGCTGCCTGTAAGAAAGCCTCTGGCGTCGGATCTGAAAAGGTGCACCGTGGGCAGCAAGAAAGAGGCTGGTGCTCCGAGCGCTCCTCTGGCCTCAGTACTTTGATGTACCAAAGGCTGGGCCACTGGTCTATACACAAGAGGTGCAGACGTGAGTGTGGGACAATTATTCCCTCCTTTTAAGTGCAAAACTAGAACGGGCAGGATTTCCTTTCTTTCTTTCTTTTTAAAGGAATCAAGTTTATCCAAGAATTTGGCATCTTCCCGTCTGCCTCCCTTCCTCCTTTCTCCCTCCTTCCTTCCTTTGTTTCCTTATCTCCCTCTCTCAATTATTTATAGAGTGAGGGCCTGCTATGCACAAGGTACTCTGCCTGGTCCTAGGGGGGATAAAACGTGGCTCAGGGAGCTCTGCTGTGCGTGTTTTATTCTGATAACCTATTCCCCTTCCTGGTTTTGGGTATGTTTTCCTGCACAGTGCTGCTAGTTCTTGGCAAACCTGAAAGCCACTGGACTAGCAGTGTCCAGATCGCCCCACTCTCCACGCCTCCCTCCTCCCTGTAGAACTGGCAGCACCCCTCCCTCAGCCCTGAGCCGCCTTCCCACAGGCCTCCCCCCAGTGCCGGAGCCGCTGGCTCCCGACCCCTCTGGCCGCGTGGTGATCACCATGCTCCATCTTGCCTCCCAGGCTGCTTTGTTTTTCCCTTTTCTGAGCTGTTCCCTCTGATTCCTCCCACTGCTTCCTCTTCTCACTTTGACTCTCTTCCTGAATCACATTGATCATCTCCGATGAGCCAGCTTAGTGTGAAAAAATAAAGGTTCTAATAATCCGCTTCCTCTCTGCCCACTGTTATTTATTCCAGGGAACAAAGATATGCTTCAGGAACCCCTCCTGGGAGCTGGGGGTAGAAGGAAGACACCCCAGTTTCATTTGTCCCTTTCTACAGCCCTCACCCCCTCCTAAAGTTTCTTCCCCACCTCTGAAGTGTAGGTGGTATATTTGTTTTTCAAAGTCCGGAGTGGGAAGGGCACAGAGGGCAATTCCATGATGGATGGGATTCCACAATGTGACTGAACCTTATTTGCTGGCTATAAAATGTTAAGATTCATGTCTGGAATAGAATTCAAAACAGGCACATATTACACCTGAAAATTTCATTCCTACAACTTCATTTGCTGGGAGGAAGTGGTCAGACACAGAGCCAGCCAGAGTGTGTGTCCTCCCCACACCTGCCAGCCCCTGGGGAGACGGCCTCCCTTCTCTCCTGCTCATCAAATTCGTGCCCCAGGCAAAGTCCCGCCCCTCTCTGAGGGCTGCCTGGGCATCCAGTCCACAGCTCCCTGAGGTCTAGCCTCTGTCTAAGCCATCCTTGACCCCTGGCAACAAGCAACCAGGTACCTAACAGGGACCCAGTAGAAGTGTGGGGAATGAATGGAAATAAAGGCCTTTCTCCAGCTCCTGTAATCACAATGCTGCTTACCTCCAGTGAACTTAGCGTCTGGACCACTCGTTCGGACACGTCATAGCATTCCTCCCACACTGCTAATGAACCGTGTTAAGAATGAATGCTTTCCTTCCCACCCAGATTGCTAGTTCCTTCAGGAGGACAGTGCTTCATGTTTTCTTCATATTTCTCCCTATTGCCTAGTGCAGAGATGGTGCTCACAAACATTGTTGATTTAAACACTGCTCCCTTTTGCTTGACAGCAGTGTCTGTTGGGAATCATGTTTAGAAAACTGATTTTTTAGAAGCCACAATTTTATTGTAAGTAATCTCTGAAAGGAGTCTGGCTTCCACGGATTTCAAATGGAGAGAGGAATTGTTAACGGCCAATCGGTGCTTAGTTTGGTTCAGCCACATTTATTAAGCAGTTGCTTTGCACCTGACACTGAACCAGGCAATGTTCCTGCCTCATGTGGATTCAGAGTGGACGGGGAGGTCTGGCTGCCCACCTCTGACCTGGAGACAGTGCTTGTCCTCACCAGCTGGCCTCAGACGGCCAGTGGGCGGTGTGTGCGGTTCCAGTCACCCTCCTGGGCCTTCCTGGGCAATTATGTGGACCTGCTGCTCACCTAGTGCGGCTGCCCTCTGGGTGAATTGCTGCCTTCTCCCCTCCTTTGGGAGACAGAATAGGTTTTGCAGCAAGTTAGCAGTCCTGACTCCAAAAGGCTGCACTGTGGCTTTTCAGGAAACTTCAAACTTATCTGCTTGAGAAATACCGCGCAAAGGGGAACCCTGGCAAGGCTAATAACAGGCATTTCAAGCTGCGTGTTAGCAAGCCAGTCACAGAGTATTCACGTGTCAATTCACTGGCATGTTTCGTGGCAGAAGCACCCCCACTCTGCCTTCCCCCAGTTCCAACTGTTGTGCTGCAGGAGGATTTGGTCTGAGTCTGGGCAGAGCCCTTTTTATGAGCAGCCCTCCAGATTCTGTTACAGCGAGAGTCTGGCGAAAGCGATCCTTGCCTTCCCGTCGCACACAAAGGCAGGGAGCTCCTTAAAGGGACCCGCCTGCTCCTCCGTGCAGCTGCAAACCCGCGTCCCTGCGGGCTCAGGATCCAGGCTTCCGCCTGAGAATGAGTGGGGAGGGGTCTTGAGAGCCCCCACATCCTCCGGGAGCCGGGCCGGGAGGGACCTGACAGCCGGAGTGGATGGAGACCACAGGTCCGTGGGGACAGGCTCGAGATTAGCTGCTTGTTGGGATGCTCCACGCGCCAGTTGAGCATCCTGCCTGTGGTCCAGAGGGTGCTGGCGGCGCATCCTGCGGTATGCCTGCGTGGATCTGAGCCATCGCCCAGAAGCGAGCCCGCATTCAGACGCCGCGGGCCGGCTCCCGGCAGGGCTGCGTGCAGTCAGCACGAATGCTCAGCTCTCGGCGTCTGCGACAGCCTCCCGACCGCACGGATTTGGCTGTTGAATCAGCCGAGATTACTGCCCGCGAAGATTTGCGAGCCTGATCCGCGCTCCAGCTGCCGTGACAACTTCAGGGCTGGCTGCTTACTTCTCTTGGTGCCCCGGACTCTGTCCTGCCCCGCGGCCACCCCTGCCCTTCCCGGCTCGGAAGTAGGCAGCGAGGACTCCTCTGACGGCATCCCCGGCAAGGGGAGCAAGGAGGGGTGAAAAGACGAGCAGAACCCTCCAACTGCTCAACCTCCGTGACTGCCTGTGTTCTGGCGTTCTGAGAGGGACTGTGCACCGCCCGGGGAAGCAATGCAAGTCTCCATAGCCTGCACAGAGCACAATTTGAAGAGTCGGAATGGTGAGGACCGACTTCTGAGCAAGCAGAGCTCCACCGCCCCCAATGTGGTGAACGCAGCCCGGGCCAAATTCCGCACGGTCGCTATCATCGCGCGCAGCCTGGGGACCTTCACCCCTCAGCACCACATTTCTCTCAAAGAGTCCACCGCGAAGCAGACTGGCATGAAATATAGGTATGGATGTAAGATTCTTTCTGCCTGGGCTTTCCATGTTCTGTACAGGTGCAGTGGAGACAGTTCATCGGTTTCGAAAAGTGACTTACTCATCGGCCGGGTGCTTAATTTAGAATTCTCAGGTGTCTCTAAAATAGCCCCTTAGGAGGGTGGAAATCTCAAGGTGGTTGTGTTGTGTTGTGTTGTGTGTGTATAGGATTTTTAAAAATGTGGCCCATTTTGTGTATTCTAAAGTGTTACGGACACCTTAGGAACTATGTGAATGCCAGTCTGCAGCAAATAAGACATCTGCTGGGAACTGGTGCTGAGATCGCGGTAGCCTTTCAACAGCAAATGTGTGTGTGTTGTTTTATGATGGACTGTAGTTTCTGTGATGATACTATTAAAAATAATTTCCCTTCTAGTACTGCATCCTCACGGATCTTTGAAAGACAAAGGTAACAAATACCATGCAGAGCTTTTAAGAAAGTTTTGTTGCAGGAAGAAACACCTACAGTGGTAAATTAGATTGAACACTGACATTTAAATTTGAATTATTGCATGAAATACAACGTAGACCTTGCCATGAAATATGGAGAAAAAGTCAATTGTTAAAATACTGCTAGTTTCCTCATACGTGTTTAAGCTCCCTCCTGTTCCATGTTGTTTTCCATAGTTGGAAATCTTCCTGGTAATAGTTGATGCTCTCTTTAATAGGGAATGACTTAAATTTGATAAGTAGAAAATTTCCTTATTCAATTATGTGACTCCTGCCCCCTTATTATATCTGCTTTGCGCTGAACCTTCCAACTTTATTTCTTTAAAACTATGGTGCTTCTAGTCTCTGAAAGCATTTGCTCATGTACAGGAGAGACACTAATGATGCGTCTTCCAAAGGCTTTGTTTACTCTAATTTGCAAATATGATTTTCTCAATTATTTACGTTAACTATCCCTCATCTTTGTTAGGAACCAAGTTTTAGGATAGAAGGAAGTTAATGCAATTAGAATAATGCACACCTAAGACTGTTTCCATGTGGGTTTTCTGAAATTTAAACCAATATCTATAAAAGTTACCCTTGAAAAAGTTTCTTTGCAGAGTTGCAGGAAAGCTTCTCATTGCAAAAACGCCAAGCATTGTTTCGATCTATTTTTGCGCCATGAAGAAAGCAAGCTGTGAGGGGTAGCCACTAAAAACCAGAGCTGAAGCTCTTTGCCCTAGCTGCAGCAGTGTGAGCAGCTGGGCTCCAGGCAACTCCTTGAAGTGTCAGCAGTGTGAGTCGATGGAGAGTGGGGCCCCACAATGACAGTTCGCTACCTCAGACTGCAGTGTCGAGTGCGTTGGCATTTTCTGTCACTGCTGCTGTGGCGCACCCCCGGCCCCTGCCCGGTGGACACCGCGCTGCTCTGTATGCAGTTCAGCTGCCGAGACAGAGACGAGCTGCTGCCTTCCGCAGGCCCCTAGGAGTGGGACACTCAGGGTTAAGGCAGACCACAGAGATGATTAGAATCGTGGCCTCCAGCATTTTAGCAGCACTATGAGCTGTTTTTTGTTTTTCCTTTTTGTAAACCAGAAGAAATAAAAAGTAACACCCCTCCTTTCTTGTGACAGACTTCACAGTTGCTTGTGAACATTTGTATTGGAAGAGTTTGGTCTTCTGAAGTCTTTGAGATGGCAGGAGATCTCCATTAAGATTTTTCTGGTAATATTTTCAGCTCAGCTCAGATTCAGATTGGGTGATTATTGTCCCTCTTTACCAAAAGCTCGGTATGCAAGTAAGATTCCTTTGGGCGTCTTTCATTACTGTCAAGTAAGGACAGCTCTTCTCTCCCGAAAAGTTAGCCACCTAGGGTCTTCAGTAAACTTTGAGTTATTTGTTGTTTTTGATGACTAGACAAGATACCTCTTCTCCACTCCCCCTCTTATTATCAACCGCTGATCTGTGACAAGCAGCTGGTTTTGTGTGTGTGAGTATAACCTAACCCCTCTCTCTTTCAAATTCTACTCAGAGTGACCCTTATAAAAGAGATTATGAGATTATCCCAATGTACACTAAGACTTTCTCAAGGCTGGAAAGAGAGACAGACAGATAGACAGAGGCAGGAAGGAGAAAGAGACGAGCTATACATTTTATCAAAAATGATGAAAATATTTCCTTTAGCTAAATTCTCCTTTTCTTTGTCATTGATGTCAGTAAAGTATAATGTGCATGTGTGGACTATTTATTAATTATAACAAATAACAAAAAACAATGTCATAGAGTTGGGGAGGTAATTGGTTTGAGTAAACAATCAGGAGAATGCCTGAAGGAACTAGAAAGGAAAGTCAGTGACTAATTGTGTTTATAATAATACTTTCATCCTTGAAAATGATTTCCATCGGCATAGCTTAATCTAGGATCCATGAATCCTATAGAAGATCAAAAATATTGCCTTCCGTACATTTTTTTGAGAAGATGGTTCATAGCTTTCACCAGAATTTGTCGTGTCTATCACTCTAATTGTCAAAAAGCAGTGTTATAAAGTGAAAAGGTGTTCATTTAGTCAACAAATATTTGTTGAGCACCTACTCTATACCAGGAACCCTACTAGAACTGGGTACACAAAGGTGCAGAAACCAGGCTAGATTTAGGGCTTACGTTCAGCTTGGGGAAAGAGACCATGAAAAAAAACCAAACAAATAATAATTATCTATTGTGAAACATTCTTATGAAGGCTATATTTGGCAGGGGCTGGGGGTAGTCATGCCTAGGTCAACTTAACTCATTCATTTTGAGGCTCCCATTTCTGCTCCACTTCCAGGATTATGGTTACATCTTGGGCCATGAGTACTCTTGTGCCCATATGTGCCACTTGTTGTTGCCCTCTCAGGGCCGTCTTTCAGGCTCCAACCCTGCTGTCAGGTGCTACCTGGCCATTAGGGACATATACCCCTGATAAATGAATAGAGTGCCTTCTACTCATATAATTCCTTAGGATTTTTAAAGTCCAACTCATATTATAGCCTATGATTGCCATTCATTAATCAAGAACTCATGACCTTGGGATTTTAGAAAAAATTAATAACATACACTTGTGTGAAACATTTGAATTCTGTAAGAATAAAATGCTCAAAGCCACTATTACATTCACACCACCATTGTGCAAGAGTCTTGCATAAAATTAGGTATTGTTTCAAGGCTGAAAATGAAAAAATCCACTAGAGGAATCTGCTATTCGAATGCTACTGTCAGCCCAGGAGAACAAAATTCCACCCACCATTCATCCTGGGGACTGTCCTGTAAGTAAAGAACACAGGACTATTCTGTTGCTCACAGTTTTTGTACTTGTGCTTTGTTAATGCCTGAGAGTTCCTTTATTTTAGTTTTGTGTGTGTTTTAATCTGAGAGTTTGTCACACTGTGTTAGAGTTTGATGTACACTCTGCAACCATACATGCTAGAAGTGGATGCTTTCAAGAACCTTTCATCCTAAGGAAGCCAAGTTACTCAGAACAGAAGTTAAGCCAGATTTGTTAGTTTGTTTTTGGGTAACTTTTTAGAATGACCCAGCTATTAGTGTTTGACATGGTCCCAGAGTTTTATCATTTAGAATTGAGCATATTTGTACTAAGCTACACCCCATTCTGAAATTGTTACTTTAATTCTAGAACAATTTGCATATTTATGGAGCCAATTTTATTGAGAAAAATTTTATCTGAAACATATATGTCCATATCAGTATAACCTTGTGCTGTATATTTTACATAAAACATCCCTTGAAGTTCTTAAGAGAATTCTTTACAAGAAGAAAATTGTCTGAGCAGTAATCTTTGAATTCCACCAAAAACTGCTCTTTTTTTCAGTTTTTTAGAGTAACCACACTGTACCATTTTTGTTATCATTTTAAAATAGTTTTGAAATAATTATGGATTCACAGGAATTTGCAAAGAAAACGTACAAGGAATGTCCATGTACCCTTAATCCCGTTTTCTCCAATGGTAACACCTTGCTTAACTATAACACAACATCAAAACTAGTAAATTAACATTGGGACAATCCACAGAACTGATTCAGATTTTACCAGTTGTACATGTATTCACGTGTGTGTGTGTTTTATATGTGTGTGCAATTTTATCGCGTGTAGAAATGTGTAACTACCACCACAGTAAAGAATCAGAGTTGTTCCCTCACTACGAGTCTCCCTCGTACTCCCCTTGTGTAGCCACATCCACTTCCTCCTCCCCAACCCCTAATCTTTGGCAACCACTAATCTGTGATCCATCTCTACAATTTATTGTTTCAAGAACATTATATAAATGGAATTGTACAGTTCGTAGTCTTTTGGGATTGGCTTTTTTTTCACTAAGTATGATTTTCTTGAGACCCATGCAAATTGTCTGCATCAATAGTTTGTTCCTTCTTATTGCTGAGTAGTATTCTATGGTATGGATGTCCCACAATTTTATTTTTTAGTAACCATTCATCCACTAAAGGACAATCAAGTTATTGTCATCATTATTTTTAGCACTCACTAGGTACCTTCAGATCGTGACATTATTCCCACATTCTTTCAACGTCACCCAGTAGCTCAGGGGACAAAATCCAAACTACCTAACGCGGCACCTGAGGCCCTTCATGCTCTGGCTTCTGTCACGCATCCAGGCACCATTCTTTGCTCTCACCTGACCTCTAACCTCCTGCTTTATCAGAGGTGTCTGCTAGCGAGGACTGCTCACAGTACCCTGAACCTTCTTGGTTTTTTATGCCTCTGTATAATTTTCCATGCTGGTCCTTCTACCCTGGAATTCTACTACCTTGCTTGATCTGTCAGACAAACTCCTAGGCACCCTCCAAGACCCAACTTGAGCATAACCTTCTCTGTGAACCCTTCCTTGGTTCCACCCCCATAGGCAGTAAATACTTGCTCTTTAGCGCCCCCTCTGCATCTGGTATGGGAATGATGGGTTGCGTAGTGTTGCTGTTATCTACGTGCATCTGTCTTCCCCATTAGTCCATGAGCACCTTGAGGTCAGGTGCTTGGC